CGTTCCCAATCTCATATTGTGGCTTGCCTTATCATGTCTTGTTCCTCATTGTTGAATAACAACCTCAGTATAGCATTAATATCATCATAGGTGTATATGCTGTTCCCAGAAATTCATCTAGTCTATCTGCCACCCCCAGTGGGTTGTCCATCAGTTTTCCCATCTCTTTCTTGAAGGCTCTTATGTCCCCAGTATTAATCGGTACATTTACGTATCCGATGACTCCCGAGGCAGTGGGCACTTCTCTTAAAGGAAAGAGATTATGCTTGTCTTCCTTGTTCTCACTATTGTCATTATGTACTTTCCTTGTTTTGTGCCACATCCTGTTGCTGGAGGAGAACTGGTTTCCCCACTGGGAAGGGTTTGCCGCTCGTTTTCTGCCGGTGGGGGTGGGGGCTGAGAATAATCCTGTGGATACTGCAATGCCAAAGCCTGCCCTTGCAAGAGCGAAGTTTCTAGAGATTGCATGTAAAGAGGAGGTGTCTGAGCCTGTGTGGGCTGGTGCGAAGAACCCGTGGGTATGGGCAAAGGGACCGGAGTTTGCACGGGTTGAGGTGAGGGAGTTGGGTGTGGGGGCAGGAGGTTATCTAAGGGTTTCATTCTGGGTCGCAGCACCCTTCTAAGTTTTGATCGGGAATAATCCTGTGCAGCACACTCCCATAATCTGGCAGGGTCTCTTTCATTATCCTCTGAATTCTCATCATACACATAATCATGTAAGGCTTGGCAAGTCCATCTCTCGAAGGTGCCAAACACAGGCTAGATTAGATGTCTTTTAATTTCTTTACCTCCCCATATTTCTACACAATAATGAATCATTTTCTCCTTAGATTTCCTTCGCCTTTCAGGGCAATCCTCCCAATGTTCTAACATACACCCCAATGGGTTGTTCCTCGGAAGCTCGGGTAAACTGTTTCCTCATTCTTTTACGGGTTTACCCTGGGTTTTTCCCTGAATTTTACTTTTCCTTTGTCCCATTTTTCCTTAAACTACTTTTCTAGAATCTCCTTACTGTAACTCTGCACTGAGTTCCAAAAAGAATCCTAAATTTTAACCGGTACCGTACCTATGGCTAATCTGCGTTCAATGTTATCAGCCTACTAGCCTCACAGTGCACCAATCCGTGGGTTTTTCGGCTGATAAGGAGATCTCTGTTACCTTTCCCTTCCCGGACTTACCAAGTCCTGGATCAAAGAGGTTTACCAGTTCCCAAAAACCAGAGAACGTACCTTCTCTTTTTGATCCGGCCCATGATCGACCCCTGAACTCCCCAAGTTAAAGGCTTTACATGTGAAAATGAGTTTTACCAAGTTTCGTCCACTTCCCCCTTGGCCGACCCCTTCCCTTGCGGGATAGGGGAACTGCGATCTTGGGGTCCGCACTTGCTTCGTGGTAGCATCAGGTCTCACACACGTGCTCAATCACACCTCACTCAACCATGCAATACTTACAGTCCTTTTCCCACGTAGATTCTTCATGCACGTTGATTTTTATGAGTGAAAAATATTTTGCTGTGGCTACAGAGACCCTTCTCTGAGTGCCTGAGAGCTCTGGGCCTGTTTTTATCCCTTCTTTGATTGTGGCTCTGGCTTTTTAGTTCAAGATCTGTTTGGTTCCACAGGGTTTCCCAACCTCGTCAGGCTGCTGAAATCAGTGGGGCACCTCCTGACTGGAGGAAGGGGGTCCCCAGACCCCTAAATCAGATCACATCAGAGTCACCAAGATTGTTATAGGTAATAAATTATAAAGCCAAATTAATAATTAATAAAATAGATTTTATTTTGAGATATGGTTTCTGATAGCCACAATCAAATGGACAGCGTCAAGGCCGGGATCGGCACTGGGTGAACTCTGATCTGAACTCTACCACTTCAGATCCCCTCTGTTCACAAAGGCTGTCCCTGTCCAGGAAGTTTTTATACAGTTTTTTCCGCCTGGGGCAGAGTCTCTCCTTTTCTTTTCATGGCTTCACATATTCATGTAGTCTCCTTTCTCTGTGTTGGGCTGGACAAAACCATTTCTGGGAAGCAATGAATGCTGATAATCTAGTTATGGGATCCTGGTGTTGGGATGCAGGTTCCTGTCAACTCTGGCTATCTTGATTGCAGATGCTTATCGAGTATTCATCACTTGGGTGTTTCCTGGACTGTTCTGGGGAAAGAGCCCATCTCCCATCTCCGTAGAAGCCATGTCTTTTAGTTTGTTAATTAGGTGTTTCTCTCTGCTGCCATTTGTGGTTTCACAATTTTGTGAGGCAATCTCCCCAGCTCCGAGTGTTGGCTTCGAAGGTTTTCGCTATTCCCACCCACGCGGGAGAGTTAATGGCCAATCAGTGGGCCGCTGGCTTTTGGAGATGTCACACTGGCTCCTGTATCAATGAGCCCTGTTAGGAGTGTCTCTGCCTTTCAGAGTACTTTGCATTGGCACATGGGACACTGAGACCTGTGGCAGCAAAAAATCTGCGGGACCCCTGTAAAACCAAAACCCCCCTCTCTCTTCTCAGTTATGGGGGTTGCAGATAGGGGTGCTACTGGAAAAAATATGAGTTGGGATATATGGCTCCCAGCTGGGACTACACAGAGCGGCTGGGGAGTCCATGTCAGGAGTCAGAGTCAATAGCTCCAGTGAAATAGAGGTTTTGTGCGTTCACTTAAGTTAGCATTATGAATTAAGCATTTAAATTTTAGCTTGTAGAGCTGTGTGTTGAATTTTAACCTTTTACTTAAGAAACCTCTGCTATGGTACAAAGGGCATAGGAAAATGTAAATTTCTGAAGCTTCTTGTGATAAAGAACAATACCGGGAAAAGACCAAGGGATGCAAGAAACCTAGATAAAGGGGCACCTCTGTCTCCAAGCTAATCAAAATCGACAGACATACTCAGATAAGCACCAAGGGACCAAAGTGCACGCACAAAGGAGACATCCTTCCCTCAATCAAAAAGGACTATAAAAGAGGTTAGAGCTGACTGGTACCCTTTGAGATCACTCCTGACGTGAAGACGACAGGCTCTTCGTTGGCTGGACTTCAAGGGACTTTGTCATCCGCACATCTGGTAACTATACACCTCCTTTCTCTTTTCTCTCTTTTTTCCTTATTCTTTCCCTTCTCTTCATTCCCCTTCTCCCTAATGCATTTTTGCTATGGTTACTCAATAAAAGTACATTTGTTTTGTTTTTACTGCAAAACCCCCTTTTCATGTCAGTTTTTGCACCCTGAGATCAGTGAAAAGAACCTTCACGAATCTTGTCCCCCAGGACGGATCGTGACAGGCATAGATCTAATTACCTGGCCAGGCAAGGACAGGCAGGGCCAGGGGTTGAAGATGCATGGCAAGGTTGTGCAATGTAATGTATATGGAAGACCTTTGTGAATAAAGATGGGGCTCAGACCAGGGCTCAGGGCACAAGTTTTCACAAGAGCTATCTCGCTTGTGCCGGGCGCTGACAATACATACCCACTTCATAACTACACCCGCTTGTGGAGTCTATTTATTCCGCATATCACTTCACCAGCGAGAATAAACAAACAAAGTATGCATACACTGTTCAGGTGGTCTGAAAACTCCTGTGGGAATCAAATGAACAGATGAATCCAGCAATGTTACTGTGTTGGAGGTTGCTAGGTCCGTGCCTGCGCTGCCTGGGGTGGCTGGTCGGTGACAGTCCGGCCAGGGCTGCCTGTGGTCTGACAAAGGCTGCTTGGGGCGGTGGCTGGGCTGAGCCTTTGTCCAACTCTGCAGCATCGGCTGGGGCATCTGCGTCTTCACGTGGTGCCACCCTCATGCTCCCGTTTCCCAATACTGGACACCCTTCAAAATCATACTTGGACTGATGTTGATTATGGCACTGAGGGCAAATACTGGGAGTTTTGGATCTGGCCTCCCCCTTTTCAAAACAGTCCTTTTTCAGATGCCAAGATTTCCCGCACATGAAGAAAGTAGTGTGGAGAGACAGAGTGGGGTAGGAGGGCGGTGGCATCCGGCCGCTCTCGCTTTTTCAATGTCTTAAAAAGAATTTTCAAGGATGGGAGTAAACGTGACTTAGGGTCCTGCTTGGCATGGGGAAGTCATGCCTGCCCAGAAGGGTGAGCATGGTTCCATAGACGTCTCTCTCTTTGGACATTTCCTTTCCCATTTTTAGTTCCTTTTTTATTTCCCTGGCCCACCTGTCGGTTGCAGCAGACAGGGACTGTGGGCCCAGACGTGATTCTCTCACTGTCACGATCAGTTCCAGGGACTCGCCAACTGCTGCCAGTCAGGCCGGTTCATTTCCTCACACAGAGGTACCAATGGTCAGCAATGGAAAAAGACAGGGAGACTGACTCGGTGATCAGAATCCGATTTTATTGTGGGATACAAATGCTTATATACTATTTCAGGGAGACTAGGAATGTGTACTACAATGATTAGGTTAAAACCACATGCACAAACTTATGCACATAACAACATCTCTTGCTTGCACAGTTTAATGGGATTTTCTTTTCCCAGTAAACCTGTCTGATTGAATCTTCTTGCAATCTAGGTCTAATTTCCAAAGTTCCCTTTGCTTTTGCCAAGGCATCCTGTTATAAAATCTCTTATGTTAACTAGGTCTGAAGTCCATCTTCCATCTTGTGACTCCTGACATCCCAATAGAGAAGAGTGCAGAGTCACCTTTCCCAAAGGAAAAAGGTCCAGGCGGGATGGGATCGGACACTGTTGAGTCAGGGACAGAAAGAAAGACTCCAGGTCTCAGGTGGATTGGAAGGCTTTAGAAGAACCTTTATTAGCAAGAAGCAGTGAGCTTTTGGAGTCTCACTCGCTAAGTGGGACCAGACTGGTCCCAAAGTAGAAAACATCTCACATTACTGGTGACTATGAAAAGCACACTGTGGAAAGCCATAACTATAAGCAATGGTTACAGAAAGAGAGATAATAATTGCTTGAATTCTTTAATCTAAGATTCCCCGGCTCAGCCTGGGAGAAATTGTCTCTGTTCTTTCTTCGACAGAACTGAGAAAATGCTGGGTAAGCAGGACCTGTCAGAGAATGACGAGCCCGGTTCTGTTGCCGTGGCTGTGGAGAAGACGATTGTGCACGAGAAATGGAACTCCATTCTTGTCATGTAGGGATGGAATATATCCATGAGTGGGTGGGGGGCAACAAAGCTAGGGACCACTTCCTCATGGTTCATGTTCCCCTCTAGCAATGACATTGCCCTGGTCAAGCTGGCAGAGGAGGTGCAGGAGACTGACAACATCCGTGCTGCCTGCCTGCCAGCTGCTGACAAGGTCCTGCCCAACGACTACCCCTGCTATGTCACCGGCTGGGGACGTGTCAGGAGTAAGTGGGGTGTCCCTGGAAGGGTCCCCAGGGGTCCCTGGGCAGGGGATGTGCAGAGTGTGAGGTGTGACTGTCCTTGCAGCCAACGGGCCCCTGGCCGATGCCCTGCAGCAGGCTCTGCTGCCCGTGGTGGATTATGAGACCTGCTCCAAGTGGGACTGGTGGGGCAGCCTCGTGCGCACAACCATGGTGTGCGCCGGCGGTGACGGCGTCGTCTCTGGATGCAATGTGAGTGTGGGCACTGCTGGGTGGTACCTGCCCCCAGCCCAGAGTAGGACTGACAATGGTGCTGAAGCAGTGCAGGGCAACGGGTTCCATGGGAAGCACAGGAGGGAAGGGGATGGAGCTGCTGCAGTGGCATGTTGGAATAAATCAGCCAAAACTCCATTTCCTTCATGCAGAAAGACAATTCTTATTCACAAAGCTTATATTTATAGGAAATATCAGAAGGCACTGTGTTAAACCTAGTTGGTCAGCAATACAGTGAAACTCAGTTCACTGGTTGATAAGCGCTGTTGGATATGTCTACCAAATTTTCTCTCTCTAGACATGTTTCCATTTTTCTTTGTGGGTTCTCATGGGACAGATCTTATTGTTTACAGAGGTGCATTTGTTTCTCACCCTCAGAACAGATTGTTGGGTTAAACAAACCTCTCATTCCCAAAATAGCTTCACATGGGAACTTGCAAATCACTTGTTAGCTGCACTTAGAAGAAATGACAGGTCAGCTTTGGCAGTTTTAGCAGAGTGAGGCCTGATTTCATAAGGCCTTTCTTTTATAATTCTTCTACCTGTCTACGTCAGTGCTGTGTTGAATGTGGGGTGTACCAACAGGGTGCCCAGGAGCAGTGGCCCACACTGTCTCTCCATACAGGGCGATTCTGGAGGCCCCCTGAACTGCCAGCGCGATGATGGGGTCTGGGAGGTCGAGGGCATCGTCAGCTTCGGCTCCGGCCTGAAATGCAACATGAAAAAGAAGCCGACAGTCTTCACCCGGGTGTCTGCCTACATCGACTGGATCAACGAGGTGGGTGCCCTTTCCTCTGCCCCCATGCAGGTTGGCCACACTACCCCTGCCCTGCCAGTGGTCTCACCATGAGCCTCCCCGTGTCTTTCTCTGGCAGAAAATGAGCGAGAACTGAGGACGCAGCATGGAGCACAAGTACTGAGTGTGATAAAGGCAATAGTGCTAAGCTGGTCTCGTGTGGTTCTTTCGAGGGGACGCGGTGGAGCAGAGCCAGGGGATGTACCTTGTGGTGCTGGGCTTCTGCCTGTGTGCTGGGGAGAGCCCCCACATTGTGCAGTGAGGCTGGGCAGGCTCCTGGGGAGCCTAAGGTGGGCAGAGATCCCACAAGGTACTCCCAGTTAGGAGAAGAGCCATGGCCATAGCCAAAACAAAGGGTTCAAGGCTTGGCTGGTGGTTTGATGGGAGAGTGGCTGGAATCAAGCCTGGTGGTCCTGGGGGGCTCTAGGGAACTTGGGGAGGGGCTATAGGGCCCCTAGTTGGCCCAAGGAGGTTTTAGGTGTCTTGGCTGGCGCTGGGATGTTTCAGGGGGTCTTGCTAGTAACTGGGCTACTTGATGGCAGATGATTTATAATGAGGTGTTGAGGTTATTGGGTTGGTTCTGGGGGTCATTCTGCAGCCCCACTACATTCCTCCACTACCTGTGCTGCTGGAGTGCTCCCACTCTGTTCTCACCTCTGCCAGAGATGTCCTGGGGAAGGAGCAGCCACTGCAGTCCATGTCATAGAAAGGAGAGGGACAAGGCTGAGCCATCTCTACCCAAAGTCACCCCCTACCCCCCTCGCAATGCTTCCTAAGTGAGGGAAGTGGGGAAATAAACAAGGGAAAGAGTGCAGGGTCACCTTTCCTGAAGATGAGCAGGTGCAGGGTAGATGGGATCAGCCCTGGGATCACCTGCACACCCAGATGCTCTGTACAAAACTGGACAACATGGGACAGGGCAGCCCAGAGCCCCACTCCCCTGGGGGATGGAGAAGGAGAATAGAGAAGAAGACAACCATGAGCTCTCACAAACACCTGAGCACAGGCAAGGCCATCACATCCACATCCAGCTCCAGCTGGACCCTCCTTGGGGTGCTCAGGGCAGCCCTGGCTTCTTCCTGCAGCACCTTCAAAACACCTGAAATGCTCCCAAAGGAGTGTGGAAATACTCAGTGACTGAAAAAGCAGATTGGATATTGCCAGGCTCTCTGGGAATCCCCAAGCACCCCTCAGCACAGACCTACCCTGAAGCCTCTGCACCACACAAGGGTGGCTCCAAGGATGCTCTCCCCCCTCAAAATCCAACACAGATGCAGGATTTCTGACCCAAGGCCATCATGTTAGCAGCTCCTTAAGAACTTTACCTCAGCACTGATGTTTCAATGAATCCTCATCAGTTTCCTGCTGTAACTCCCAAATGACTCTTCAAAAGGAGCAGGATGCTCCATAGGCTGGCACAGCCACATTGTAAATGACCACACAGAGCAGCACAGACATAAGTGAAGGTTCCTACTCTTCCCACTTCAGAGGAGCCTTAAGGAGGTGCTGAAATGGCAATGAGGAGATGGAACAGACAAGGGAATACAGCTAAAGATTTGCTCTTTAATTGCATTTATTAGAAACACTGACTGCAAAACTCATCCCATTTCACTTGAACATCAGACCCTGGTCCCCTCAATCAGTTACCTGGACAGCACAGGACACAAATATCATGATCACCAAAGAAAAACACTCTGAGGCCAAGTGTGGTCATGTCAGGCTGAGCCAGAAGTGCTCTCCTCTGGCTCTGTTCTCCAGCGAATGGACTTCCCCCTCCATCCACAACATTTCCCATCGGCACAGCACAATCTCCATCTCATCTCCACTCCATGGCAAAGCCAGCACTCGCGGATCACATTTCTCCAGACAAACATCAGGACACACAGACAAAATCCACAGGGAGCACTGACACCAGGTCATGGTGGGCACAGATTTCATTCAGGCACAGGAAGAATCTCCAGTGCTTGGCAGGGGGCATGGAGCCCACGTGTCAGTGGCACATGAAGAAGAATTTTTTACGGAGGAAATTGAAACATCCCGGCATCTGCTTGTACCTCCCCTTGGCAGAGACAGCATGTGCCACCTGGGAACAGAAGAGAGGCTGAGGAATGGGATGCTCTCCCCATCCCTGGGAATCAATGGCTGCCATGCCAAGGCCAAAGAAGCACCACAACAACCAGAAAACAACAAGGTGATTCTGTAAGTCCTCTCTCCCTCCACACTGGACTTTTCTCCTACCCATGGAGAACAGAAAAAGTATCTGGGGCATCTACACTTGTACACAACTTTGGCAATATTGAGTCAACAAGGCACACAAAGGAAGATGTTGATCAGCCAGACTCATTCCATATCCCTGTGCATTGTGCTCCTCCACCCCCAGGACAAGCTTACAGGAGCACCCAAATCTCATCAGCTTGGATAGGACAAGACACGACATTTTTCAGCAATTTTTTCAGAAGGATTAAAGCCTGTATTGCCAAGATTACTTCTCACTGGAGAAACCTCCAGTGCTTTTTGGCAGATTGAGGCCAGACACTTTCTTTGTAATTAAACTTCTCTGCTGTACCTCCAATGAACCCATCCCTAAACTCAACACTCAATATCCTCACTCCTTTTTTGAGTGTAGGCCTCTATGCCCCAGCTGATCACACCCCTGACTATTTCCTTCATCAACACAAAGCAGAACAAAAAAGACATTTACCCTCACTAACATGCTGAGCAGGTCTTCCAAATGGGCGTATTGCTCCAGCACACTGTCCAGCGTTTCCACATACCACGAGCCACTTGACTTCTCTCTCCAAGAGACAAAACCTTTAGAGAAAGAAGGAGAATGTTATGCCAAAATTCATCTGCTGTTCTCATCCCAACAAGTTCCTGCCACTCCAACAGAGCCTGGTTGTCCTGAATTGCCCCTATCTCTGGCCATGAAGCTCCAACTGTTTTGCTAATTCCCCCATGCTCAGAAAAGGATTTGTACCGTCTGTTTCACCTGGAAAAGTTGAGTAGGAAACCAAGATGTCACTAGGTGTGGGCAAACTGGCAATGGCATCGGGCTCATCCACGTTATCTGATGAAACCCGAAACGGGGTCGCGTCCGATTCCAAGAAACCCCCAGGAGCTTCCTCTTCAGGCGAATCACAATCCACTACAAAGCCTTGATCCCTTTGTTCTGAAAAAAGCAGCAACAAGACAGCTCCTGACGTTCATCCCACCCAAGAGATTCACAGTTGTACATCCGACATTAAGAAAGGATGGGGAAAGAAAAGGGAAAACGCCCTAGAACAAAGTAAGGCTTTTTGGCTGTTCGGCTGCACTGGTTGAGTCAAAGTCATTGGTAGTTTGTACAAAATTCCTCACTGTGTGTGAAGAGCTGGAGCGGCCTCTCAGCATACAGTAAGAGAAGAGGCAGCTGGTGTGAGAAGACAGCTAGAGAGAGGGGCAGTCAATGAACAGAAAAGGAGCCAAAGCCACAGCCTGACCACATCTCTGCAGCCCAACGCTACCGGAGCCAACACAAAGATTCACCTCCACCACAGGCCTGGATGAAGAACAGTTTGGGTTTTCCTCTCAAACTCGGGCAATTGGACCCATTGAAATAGTTCACAATCTTTTCTATGGGAATGGGTTTTCCATCCGTTCCGTAAACACCTCCAGGAAATTGAATATGGCTCGTCTGCAAGAGGAAAATGCAGGAGCTAGTGACAGGGAAGGCAAGGCCAGTTCCAAGGGAGCCCATTTCCCATCAGGTGCTTCATGGCATAAAGGTACCAGAACAAATCCTGGTGTTTGTGGGAATCCCTGTGGCCAAGTCAGGGTGAGGGGACATCCAGGAGACGTTTGAAATGCACTAAAACCCATAACTTCTGTTATCCAACTCATATCCCACATCCTCCAGCAAAGGAATTCTTCATCCTCTGGTACAATGAGTACATACCATACACCACTTTACTAAGAATGCCTCTTCTCATCCTTTAAGAACTGACTTGGAATAAACAGCCATTATTGCTAATAGCATCTCCCAGTCAGAGCTGGAGGAAGGACTGAATCACCACAGCATGAGGCTGAGTGGGACCTCCATGCAGTTCTAAATTATTAACCCCAACTTCTAAAATGGAAAACACTTGTCCACTGGCACCACTGGATCAGACCACACCAGAGAAGCTCCTGTTTTCTTTAACCCAGAATAAGGGTGTAACTCTTTGAAATGTACTGCAAAGGCAGAACAAGGTTTTGACAGACCACTTCCCTCTCACCCTGTGTAAGACCACAGGACAGGGAATTAACCCTTTCCCACACCTAAGGAACAAAGGGAGAGATGGGACAAACCCACCTGACAGCCATGGGAAAGGATGATCACAATGCAGCAGTCCAAAGCACTGTGGTCCTGCCGTGACAGCTTCAGCAGCTCCAACACCATTTCCTGTGTGGAAAACATCACAATGAGAGTCTTTTGAACCATATCTCAGCCACAGGTTACTGCCAGGCCCTGTTCTAACTGCACTGCCATGGATCCTGTCAATCTCTGACACAGGAGAACATGAACTCCGAGTACAGCTGGCAAAAGCCATTGGCAGAGAGTGAGTATTTCTGCTTCTCTGCCCTTATTTAACACTGGCTGATTTAATGACATAGATTTCTCACCTCTCTACATTCTTTACAACACAGCATCACAAAACAAAGCACATTTCCACATGATTTATTTGACGAAATCCACTGGTTCTGACCAGGAGCTGGTGGGTGGGCAGAGAACCATGTTTTACTTTCAGATGATCAAATTCCCCCTGACACTTCCAGTAACAGCCAAGGATGGCACAGACAGACATGACACAGCTGTCTGAGCTATCCCAAAAGCACAGCCTCACCAAATCCCTACAAATCCCAAAGGAGATTCAACATTCATGCAGAAGAATGAAAATGTGCAAGGTCCTCTCCCCTTCTGCAATTGCAGCGTAACAATAAAGTAACAGGATGCAAGTGGTTCATTGTTTCTTTGTGGGAGGTTTTTGGTGTGCTGCCAACACAAGACACATCTCCAAAAGCACTCCCATTGCTTCCAGGGGCTCACCTCTCACCCCTCATGTCAGCAGGACACACCCAGCCTCACCTGAGCTTTCAGATCCCGCCGGGTCAGGACGGTGAAGCGCAAGGCCTTGAAGCGCCTCTCCAGCTTCTCACAGTCAATGTCAGAGCCTTCTCGGGTGGACAGACCCGAGTCTCTGGAGAAATTGACGTTATTGAGGATCAGGCAGTGTCCGCAGGGATCCGCTTTCATCTCATAATCCTGGCAGGGACACACCACAATTAAACTCCCTCTTATTCCAAGTGCTTGCTGGCTAATCCAGCAGGATACAATGTCAGTGAGGAATGGGAGTACTTAAATTGGCTAATTTCACAGCTTTTTAATTTCTCTAGTCCTAGGGATGGGTAGGAGCACACTTTCTCCACACACATCTTCTCATCAGCAGCTGGGAACAAGAAACAACCCACTAAACTGGGGAAAGCCTTTGTGGAAAACCAGCTGCTGCTTTATCTGTAGCATGTCCAAGAGAAGTTGAAATTTCTGGGAAATTCTTTTAGGCATCATCATCAAACCTCACCAAAAGGAGCCAAGAATTTATGTTATAACTGTGGTAATCTTAAGGAGGATCTGGCTAATGACTGATCCACTCTGAGACCACTGGCCCTGTTACAGCCTTGGAGCAATTGCTCAGATAAGGCAAAGTGAGAACCAGCTCCTCCAGAAATATTTTCTGGAGTCACTCATGAGACACAGAGCTTTTGCCTAGTAGGGAACACTTTCAGCCTTCTCAAATACTAACCTGGTCATGGCTCCTCTTGTCAACAGCTGAAGCTACAACACAAAACAGGTACAGGATTCAGTTCACCACACTTCACAACAAGACCATGCTCCTAGAGTTCATGTCTTTCCCAATACATATGAATTTTCCCTTCCCACCACACTGGAAACGAGCCTTTGGCATGCTGTGGCTCTAGGAGTGGAATGTGGCTTACCCCGGGCTGGCACAGGAGGCATTCGAGGTCTTTCACTCTCAGCTTGGACTGGGATAGACAAACGTTCACGAGGGGTCACATCTGTAATGGCATGGGACAAAAATACAGAGGATGAGTCCAAGCGCAAAAGGTTCCACTGCTGAAAAGCAGGACATACAGTCTGCCCCGAGAGGCTGCTGTGGAGGCCCCATCCCTGGCAGTGTTCAAGACCAAGTTGGACAGGTGTTGGAGCAACCTGGGATAGTGGAATGTGTCCCTGCCCATGGCAGGGGATGGAATGAGATAAGATTTAAGGTCCCTTCCAACCCAAACCATTCTGGGATTCCATGATTCTTCCAACAGTCACCTCTACCAGGATAATAAAAATCATGACTTCCCAGACTCTTGCCCACAGTGGGCGGAATCCCAGCTGCCACCCCCCATGCTGCTGTTTGCCAAAAACACACCACAGCCTCCTCAGCACTGACTTTTACGCTGTTTTTCCTCCCGCAGCTCCAGCTCCACGGGCCGCAGGTCGGGCAGCTGCGCTGGCACCGGCCGGGCTTCGCACTCCTGGATCAGCATCTCGGCAAGGTCGCCCTGCCCGGTGTCCCGCAGGATGGAGAGGAAGGCAGGGAAAGCCTGCTTCCCTCGAGTCTCCAGGTCAATGATCAGCTGACGGGCTTGCTCTCCTCGGCTGCCAGCGCTCTGCAGAGCAGAAAAACCCAGAACAGGGGTTTGTGCAGTGCCTGGGCAGCCCTTCCGACTTCTCTGAGCACTCAGGACATGGACACGGGGTAAACAACAACAAAATGAGTGGAAATAGCCAGAGACCTCCACCAGACCCCAGCCCTGACCTCCCTCCAACAATGGACACCCATCCCGATGAGGGGTCTAGAGGGAAAGGGGGAGAGGAAGCACCCCAAGTCTGGCCCCTGGGAACAAACAGGCACCCCTGGGTTGTCACCAGTGTGTAGGATGAGGTAAAAACACCCCCAGGCCTGTCACCTGTAACCAAGGAGGGAAACAGTAACACCTTAAGGGTGTCATCAGATTGGGATGGGGTCACAAAGAGAAACCCCTACACCTGGCACTGGCCGGGGCTGGGGACAAGAAGGGACAAGTTGGGGGGGGGGGGGGGAGGGGGGGGGGGGGGGGGGGGCGGTTCTCAAACATCTTATCTGCACAAGGACCAACCCAAGGCCTTGTCATCAGAGTGAGGGGACACAGGGCCATCCCTTTGGGCCTGTCACCAGGACTAAAGGGACATGGAGTTCCCCTTTGAGCTTGTCACCAGAGTGAGGGGACCTGGAGTCTCCCTTAGACTTGAGAGGACACAGGACAATCCCTCCCACATCTGTCACTAGAGTAAGGGGTCTTGGGGGCCACCCCCCTGACCTGTCAACGGGCTCAGGAGACATGGGTTCCCCCTTTGGGCCCAAGAGAACACGGAGCCACCCCTCTCAGAGCTGTCACCAGGGTTAGGAGACAAGGGGGCCACCCTTCAGTCCTGTCACCGGAGTTCAGGGGATGCAGGACCCACCCTGCCATGCCCGTCCCCGGCTCCCAGGAAACACAGACCCTCCCCGAGCCACCCCGGCGCTCAGTGGCCCGCCCTCTGGCCCACCTGCAGCTCCTCCAGCATTGGCCGGGTGAAGAGCCCGCGCTGCTCCAGCGGATCCCAGAGCGGCTCCACCCGCAGCGCCGCCACCAGCCGGGCCCGCCCGCGCCGCAGCGCCCGCCGCTGCTGCTCCTCCATGGCCCCGGAGCCTGGGCTGCCGGAGCCGGGCTCTGCCCGGGACCGCCGCTCAGTGCCCGCGACCGCCGCTCAATGCCCGGGACCGCCGCTCAGTGCCCGGGACCGCCGCTCAATGCCCAGGACCGCCGCTCAGTGCCCTCGACGGCCGCTCAATGCCCGGGACCGCCGCTCAGTGCCCGGGACCGCCGCTCTGCTCGGGACCGCCGCTGAGCCCCGGAGCCGCCGTTCAAACCCTGGAACCGCGGCACAAGCCCCGGAGCCGCCGCTCAGTGCCCGGGACCGCAGCTCTGCCCCGGAACCGCAGCTCGCTGCCCGGAAGCGCCACCGCCCCGGAGTCCCAGAATCACACACGGAGTCAGGCTGGAAGAGCCCTGCTGTGGTCCAGAAGGGCCATCCCAGAGCAAACGGAACAGGATTCCGTCCGTGTTTTGGTGTTTTGTTGGGGTTTTTAAGAATATCTCCAGGCTTGAACACTCCACGCCCTCTCTAGGGACTGTGTCACCCGCACAGCAAAGTTCTTCCTCATGTTCAGAGAGAGCTCCCTGTGCATCTGTTCCTGCCCGTTGTTGCTCTTGTGCCATTTCTGCCCACCGCCCCGGAGCAGAGGCTGAGCCCTCCCTGCAGACAGGGACAGACAGGGACAGGGAATGAGGGCCCCTCTCAGCTGTGTCTCCTCTCGAGGCTGAATAGCCCCTGATCCCTCAGCCTTTCCTGGGCAGAGAGATGCTCCAGGCCCTTCCTGATCTCTGCAGCCTTCACTGGCCCTGCCCCAGGAGCCCAGGGCTGGACACAGCACTCAGGTGTGCCTCCCCAGGGGCAGCGGCACTCCCTGACCTGCTGCCAGTGCTCCTCCCAGTGCACCCCAGGGCCTCTTGGCCCCCAGGACACTCTGCTGGCTCTGGGACAGCTCATTGACCATGGCACACCCAGGTCCTTCCTGCAGAGATGCTCCAGCAGGTCACCCCCACCTGTGCTGGTACTTGGGGCTGCTCCTCCCTAGGGGCAGGACCTGCATTGCCCTTGTTGAACATCATTAAGTTTCTCTCTGACCAATTCTCCAGCCTTCCAAAGTCCTGCTGAATGGAAGCACAGTCTTCAGGTGGATCAGCCACTTCCCCAGTTCCATATCATCACCAAAGTTGCTGAGGGTACATTCCATCCCTCTGTCCAGATCATTGATAAACAAGTTGATTAAGACTGGACCACTGGACCCAGTATAGATCTTTAGGGAAGCCACTGACTGTGGACTTCCAAGTGGATGATGCCCTCTGAGCTCTGCCACTCAGACAGCCCTTGATCCACCTCACCACCCATTCATCCAACCCACATTCCCTAAGCCAACTGTTGTGGGTTAAGCAGAGCTGGAAATTGGGCACCACTCAGCTACTTGCTCAACTCCCCCCTTCTCTTCTCCTCCCACCCCATGGAATGGGAAGGAGAATCAAAGTAAAACTTGTATGTTGAGAAAACAACAGTTTAATAATTGAAAATAAAGTAAAATGCAATAGTAATGGTAAACTAGAACAACAAAATAACAACGACAATAACAACAACAATAATAGAGGGGAAAACAAGTGATGCACAATGCAGTTGCTCACCACCCACTGACTGATGTCAGATCCCCTTCCTGAATCCAGATCAGCTCCTTCTCAGTCACTTCCCCCAGCTGATACACTGGGCATTCTGTGGTGTGGAATATCCCTTTGGCCAGTTCAGGTCACCTGTCCCATCTGTGCTCCCTCCCAGTTTCCTTTGTGAACCTCCCCACTGCCAGAGCACGAGACAAGAAAGAAGTCTTTGACTTTGGATAAACACGACTTAGCAAAAAACCAAAATAGCATCACAGAACATGCTGAGTTCGAAGGGACCCACATGGATCATCGAGTCCAAGTCCTGCAGAGGACACCCCACGAGTCACATCATGTCCCCTGGAGCTCCTTGAACTCAGACGGGCTCTGTGCCGTGCCCATTCCGGGGGGAGCCTGTTCAGTGCTCGATCACCCTCTGGGGGAAGAACCTTTTCCTAACGCCCATCCTAACCCTGCCCTGACACAGCTCCAGCCACTCCCTGTCACTGTCACCAGAGCAGAGATCAGTGTCTGTCCCTCCTTCTCCCCTCAGAGGAAGCTGTAACTGGGATGAGTTTCCCCTCAGTCTCCTCCGGCTGAACAGACCAAGCGCCCCAGCTGCTCCTCCACCCCTCAAGGCCCTTCACCAACTTCACTGCCCTCCTCTGGACGCTTTCTAACACCTTAGTAACTTTCTTATATTGCGGTGCCCACAAGTGCCCTCAACATCCCAGGTGAGGCCGCCCCGGCGCAGAGCAGAGCGGGACAATCCCCTCCCCGGCCCGATACCCCGGGACACGGCTGGCGCTCCCGGCCGCCACCAGCCCCATTCCGAACTCAGCCCACGGCACTGCCACAGCTTCTGAGCCGCCACGGCCCGTCCGCAGGCCCTCACCTCCGAGCCCGCCGCCGGCAGCCCCGCTTTCCCGGAAGAGCTCGGTCTCCATGGGGACGGCGGGCGGGCGCGCCGGAAGCGGCGGCGCTCGGTCGGGAGGGCGGCACGTCCGCTCCCTCCGCCCGCGGCCCCGCCGGACCATGGAGCCGGGACGGGCCGGGTGGCTCCTGCTCCTCCTGCTGCTGCCGGCGCTGGGAGCGGCCGCGCCGGGCGAATTCGACCCGTACCGCGTGCTGGGGGTCGGCCGGAGCTCCAGCCAGGCCGACATCAAGAAGGCCTACAAGCGGCTCGCCCGGGAATGGTACGTGCTGCCCTTGTGTCCCCTCCGCCCGGCCCCGGGAGCGGATCCCGGCCTGGGTTCGGTGACAGCGCCGGGCCCCGCGGCCCGCGGTGGCATGAGCCGCCTCGCCTGGCTGTGCGCCCCGCAGGCCGGCGGTCAGCCTGACACACGGAGATGCTCCATGCCAGCGATACTGCTGTAAAAGCCTCTGGAGCCCGGCTGCGGGGGGAGAGGTTTGCTCAGAGTCTGCTTACGAGGGGAAAAAGTTCTCCCAGAATCAGGCTACAGGGGGGAAAGTTCTCCCAGAATCAGGCTGCAGGGGGAAAAGTTCTCCCAGAGTCTGGCTAGGGTGGGAAAATTCTCCTGGAGTCTGGCTACAGGTGGGGAACGTTCTCCTTGAATCTGGCTATGGAGGGAAAAGTTCTCCTGGAGTGTGGCTGTGGAGGGAAAATTGTCGCAGAGTCTGGCTAAAGTAAAGAGGTTCTTCCAGAGTCTGGTTACAAAGGGAAAAAGTTCTCCCAGAATGAGGCTACAGGGAGAAAAGTTCTCCCAGAATCTGGCTGTGGTGGGAAAAGTTCTCCTGGAGTCTGGCTACAAGGGGAAAAAGTTCTCCAGAATCAAGTGACAGGGGAAAAAGTTCTCTTGGAATCTGGCAGTGGGGAGAAAAATTTCACCCTGGGAACTTCTAATACACAAGGGTTGAAGTCTCAGCTTGATACCTGGATGTCCAAGGGCCGTTCAGTCCCTGTGCTGTGGAAGGAAAATGTGTTGGATGCGCAGACGTCACACCCCTCATACAGGTGGTGTGTGGTGAGGGGCAGCCTTACGGCTTAGAAGTAAAATTAATAAAGTAGGCTTACCTGCAGCTTTTAGAGCCCATGTTGTTCTGTGTGAGACATCCCCGAGGCCATGGCAGGAGGTGATTCAAGGAACAACCTGGTAGTTATGTAGGGCAGCAGCCAAGGGAGGCATTGCTAGGAAGGAGACACGCTCCGTGTCCTGGGCTCAGGCTGCTGGGGATGGAGCAGGCAGAGGGACAGGTCAACAGACACACGGCCCACATCCCAGTGCATTTTGGTATGGGATTTGGGCAGGGACAGCACGTGCTGAGTATAAATCTGATCTCAGCCTCAGGGATGTCAGTGCACACCCTCACTGCCCATGTCCTCCTCACCTCCAAACAGAGGCCAACAGCTCCCACTGACCACTTTTCCTCTGGTTCTGCCCCACAGGCACCCTGACAAAAACAAGGACCCGGGAGCAGAGGACAAATTCATCCAGATTAGCAAGGCCTATGAGGTAACACATGCTTCCTGTGAACTCCTGCTGTCATTAACTTTAAGTGACCTTAGTTTTCCATACATGGCTTTATGGTTTTCTAGTGTATTTCTATGTGGGAAGGGTGCTTGACTCTGTGGAGGTGGACATTACCCACACAAAAAATTTGCTCAGCTTTCTTGACAGAGCCACTGGGGTCACCAGCATGGTTTCTACTGTAAATACTTTGCTACAAGTCTGCCCTGCTCTGCCTAAAAAGCCTCAAAGAAGGAAGGAGTGGGTATTCCCCAAGCCCTGCCTGGCTGAGCAGCGTCTTGTCTGTGTCACACGTACATAAAAGCATTTTGGGGTCATGTAAGCAACGTTCATCATCACAGGGATTTAGTCACCTCAAATTATTCTTAGCAGTAGTTATTTGCACGTTCTTGAAATTGGTCGCTCCAGTATGTGGCAGCCAAGCCCATGGAAATCAAAATAAATCCTTATTTCCCTGCTAAAAAATGCAGTTTCTCTGCAGGGCTTCTGGCTGCTCAGTGAAACTTTTGGCACTTTGTGAACCCTCCAGATTCAAAGAGACACCAGCAAAAGCCACTCAAGAAAAGAGTGTTTGTACTCCGAACACAGGATGTTCAGACCCAAGGAGCTGTTGGTGACAGAAGTGGGAACAGCAGTCTGGATTTAGGGGCTCCTATTCTTTGAGCTTTGAGGGTTTTTTACCCTTATTTACCACAATGAGCCAAGAAGCATGTGATGCTTCCTTTTTCCAAAATATTTATCTGTCTGATGTGCAGCAAAGGCTGCACATTCCTTACGTTACTTACTGAGGGATTACAGTCAGGGCAGTTCCCCCTCATGGTTTCAGGCAACCATTTTTCCATCATTTGCTTTCCAGATTCTCTCCAATGAGGAAAAGAGGGCAAACTTTGATCGCTATGGAGATGCTGGGGAAAGCCAAGGCTTCTCTCAGCAGCAGCATCGCCAGTTCCACCGCTTCCACGATGGCTTCTATTTTGATGAGTCCTTCTTCCATTTCCCTTTCAATTCCGAGAGGCGCGACACCTCCGACGAGAAGTATTTGCTCCACTTTTCCCACTACATCAATGAAATCGTGCCAGATAGCTTCAAGAAACCTTACCTCATTAAAATCACCTCAGACTGGTGCTTCAGCTGCATCCACATCGAGCCCGTGTGGAAGGAAGTTGCTCAGGAATTGGAGGCTCTGGGTAAGGATGAGGTGGTTGGGGTTGGGCGTGTGTCCCTCGCCTGGTAAGGCTGCAGTGGTTTGCCTTCAGGTTTGTGTGACCCAGTTTAGACCCTGTGGATTTCCTCAGGGTTTTATCCTAATGCTCTCTGAAACATTCCTAACTCCAAAGCAGGGTGCTGGGCAAAGGAGCAATTCATCAGTTTTGCACTGGGCATTTGGGTTGTGGGGGATCTTACAGGTGAACCCGGTGCTTTCCTTTTCCAGGAGCAGGAATCGGCGTTGTTCACGCGGGGTACGAACGGCGCCTCGCCCATCATCTGGGTGCCCACAGCACT